TCGAAGCGCATGCTGATTTCGAAAAATTGAAGGATGCGCACCTGCTTATCTGCGCAACTAATTATCTGACCGGCGAACTTGAGACTTTCTACATATCTCACCTAGTCGACGAGTTCATAAAGATTGACGCAACTGAGTCAGTGGACCGCCAACGTCTTAAAAACTATCATCGTATCAACAGTAAGGAAGATCTGGTGACTGCATTGCTCGCGAGCACCGCAATTCCTTTCTTCTTTCAACCGGTATCAATTGGCGACGGGATTTATGTAGACGGTGGAATTGGAAACAATACCGCTCTTCGGCAACTAGCCTATTTCTCTCGATTTCTTTCAATGCATGGTGATGGCGGGATTGAGTGTCCAGTGTGCATCATTAACGACCCCGATCGCTTTACCATCGAAGGGCCACCGGTCAACGAAATCGACATATCAAGTTTAATTAGGAGAACGATTGACATCTTTCAGAATGAGCTTGTACGAGATTCCTTAATTTCCTGGGAGAGGATTAATAATGAGGTTAAATTGACGCGTAGGAAGACTACCGAAATCGAAACATATATCGACGAGCTAGTTGAACTGTCAACTGAGCGGAAAGAGATCGTCAAAGAAAAATTGCGTACCATAATCGGTTCGAGCACAGCGTCGACGCCTAGGCTTGATATGGATCTTCTAGTTGTGAGGCCTTCATCTCCGCTGGTTGCAGACATTCTCGATTTTGACCCCAGTGTATCTAAGACGCTCAAAGAAGCAGGGGTAGCCGACTGCTTGAAGATACTCTTTCACCGTGAATTTATTAGCCAGGAGGAGTACAGGTTATGGGTCGAACAGATAAACTAGATCTGCAAATAGGCTCGAAAAAAATGCGGCGTCTCTTAGTTATTGATACCGAAACGGGAGGGCTAAACCCGGCCGAGAATAGCCTGCTTAGCCTAGGCTGTGTAGTATGGGATTCTGGTTCATGCGTCGCAGAAGTGGAGATTTTCGTCGCAGAAGAAAACATTGTTGTTGACCCCGAAGCTATGCGGGTAAACAGAATAGATCTCAATGAAATTCGGTCGGTCGGAGACGCGCCCAGTGAGGCGTTGAAAAAGCTTAAGCTCTTTGCAGAAACAAGTTTCGGGCCCGATGTGAGGATCCCACTTGCGGGTCATAACGTTGGTTTTGATTCAAGTTTTGTGCAACGACTATATCGCTTAGGAGGGGGTAGCTTCTCATCACGGTTCTCACATCGATTGCTAGATACTGCTTCTATTATGCGTTTCTTGGCTCTTGCCGATCGATTACCATTTGAGGAACCTACTCTAGACGCTGGGTTGCGCCATTTCGGCATTCAGATTTCAAACGAAGAAAGACACACGGCACTCGGCGATGCAAGAGCGACCGCAAAGCTCTTGAGCCGACTAGTAAAGCTAGTGCAGATGTGACATATCTTGCGTTGGGGCGTGGATCAAACATGGTAAAGAGAGCCAACTGTCGAAGTCGACCCTTGATGGCGGTAAGTGTCGAAGCACGAAATAACTGCAAATTTGAACGAGATAGCTGGTGCTGAGACGGGACAAATGCTTGCCTGTGAAGGAGGTGGTTTCTTCGTAAGCGATCAATCAACTACGTCGTAGCCAGATTCCACGGCAGAAGATCGTTGATCTTTTCGTCAGTGGTGTTCGGCAGTCGCTCAAACACTTTGCGCACGTAGGTGTTGCTGCTGAAGTAATACTAGACCACGTTGCTGATTTAAAAGTAGACCACCTGGGCGAAGATGGCGGGCTTTGGACCGCCGATGCTGACTCGGCAAGGTGTGGAGATACGGGTGTTGAGCCGTCAAGGCAAGTCAATCAGGGCAATCGCTCGCGAGCTGGGTATTTCGCGGGAGACGGTGCGGCGGTATTTGTCTGAACCTGTCGACAACAGGCCTATACCCAAAACCGGGGAGGAGTTGTGTGAGGCCGTGGTGACGTGGCTAGTACGCAGCCAGGCTCTGCGGCACTGACATTCTTAACGGATATAAATGACGTTTTTAAGGGAAATCGACAGCTTCGATCATCATCGAAGCGGTGATTGGCAACTCGCCCTAGTGGGTTAACTTGTCAGTACCTTACGGAGCGCTTTGCAGAACTATGTTTCGCTCAAAAATCGCGCTGCTCCCCGCGTCGCCAAGTCGGTCGGTAACGGTAATTCGAAGAGCGTAGGTCTTCCCGTCGAATCGGTGATCCTTAAACTCATAAGCACGCAACAACGCGGTGGACGAGCCGTCATCTGGAAGATTGAATTCTTGCTTGAGCTGGTTTCGCGCAGAATTTGCGATATTTGAGTCCGTCATCCACTTCTTCGGGTCTGTCAAAGTGGCACCTTGGTCGGATTCAACAACATCATTGGTTTCTGTCGACAAGAGTTCCGTTGTGTACATGAGTTCGGACGTTCCGTCTGACCGCCTCTCGTAACCATTGACGACGAGCAGAACCCAGACGCAGCTTCCTTTGGAAAAGGAATTCGTCTCCCGTTGATCAATGCGGCGAATATTCGAGTTCTCGCAACCATCTATAAAAGTCTCGTTTAGCAGGTATTTATGCGAAATCGTAAGCCGCCGAGGTTTTGGAAGTGGTTCTGGTGGGTAAGGCTTAGGGAGCGGCTCTTTCTTTAAGATCGCCGCGCCAGTACCGGACAGTATTGCAGCCAGTATCGGAGCAAAAATTGCGATGCGGCGCCAAAAAATCGTATCCGCCGGGCTGCGGAGTCCGTCAGGAATAATCACCAGAAGTGTTAGATCACCTGGGTATTTACCGGTCGTCTCGTCATTCAATGAAATTCTTTCGCCTGTCGCCGCGTATTTCGCACGAGTCAGCTCTTCCTTTGACAACCAAACTCTGCTGAGAGTTGCTCCGGGAACTCGCAATATCGGAGCATCCCAGGACATGCTTTGTTGATCCCAGCTCTTCTTCTCCAGTCTTATCAGTATTTCCACAATCGCGCCTCTCTTCGCAGTCCTCGAAAATAGTTCTGGTTTTTGGCAATCAGGAATTCGCATTTCCGTTTCAAGCATCCTGATCCGAACTAGCGATAGCTCGTGCCTTGTGGTGAGGCAGCAAAATTGCCGAGAACTCACAAACTCACCCGGGATTTATGTGTTAAAATACCGATCATCGTGAACTTTGAACATAACCAAATTTTGCTAGGACTTCTTTCCTGAACTGAGTAACTGAGCGAGAATTCGACCATGAAAACTATTAATGCTGTCTAATTTGGTCAGTTTCTAAAACTATTTGGGCTCGTTTTAGCCCTCGAAGGAGTTTGTGCAAGCGGTACTCAACTTGTCCTGGCGGGCCTAACCTCCCGGAGTAGGTTTGTGCTGCTACTTTGCTGAGTTGGTCAACCAGATTCTGCAGTTCTGGCGGGAGCGCCTCGACCCATTCGAAGATCGCATTGACCACCGGTTTGCTTTGCGAGAACAGATATTCGCTCTTCTTCGCCTTGGTGAGTTCTTCGTCGGCAACGTGCGCCTGGTGCCCTTACAGTGGTTGAATTTGTTGGATGATTTGGGCCGCCGACGCCGGCTCAGCGTCCTCGGCCACGATGAACTTACGATGGTGTGAGCCAATCACAGCGCATGGGAAACCGTATCTGTAGCCTATGGGTAGAGCGCATACGCAGAGTAGCCATCACAGAGGTACTGACAAGTTGCTCGCAAAGGTGTTGTCAGGTTAAACCGCTGCGACCGCATTATTTTGCTTTGCCTGCTTCCGTTACGCAACGCTCCCGCAAATGACGCGCCATTCCGCAAATCGTCTCGTCATCAAGGCGCGATGAGTTGATGCCTGAATTAGGTGGCGTCCTTCTCGGAATTGGTTTGATATAGCTGAAAATGTTGATAGAAATCTCTGAGCTTCCGATGCCGATCGGAATCGGCTCCGTCGTCTCTCACGTTCCCGTGTCGGTTGGTGAGAATTCTCCGCCCGGTTATTAGCTCCCTTATTTTGGATGTGCTCAACCTTGGGAATCAATTGGCGCATTGCCGCGCCGTAACTTCCTAGTCGATCCGTGATGACCCGGTTTGGTACAGTGCATTCTTTGCCGAGTAATTTTCGGAAGAAGCGCTTGGCAGCGCCGGTATCACGGCGACTTTGAACCAGTATGTCAACGACCTGCCCTTCTTGATCAACGGCCCGCCACAGATATTGAAACCGGCCGTCAATTTTCAGGTATACCTCATCAAGGTGCCACGTGTCGCCCAGGCGCCCCCTGTTTCGACGAAGTCGTTTGGCGTATTCTCGACCAAACTTACTGCACCAGGCCCGCACCGTTTCGTAGCTGACCACGACCCCTCGCTCAGCCATCATCAACTCAATATCTCGGTATCTAAGGCGGAATGGAAAGGTCAGCCAG